GGAAGTACTTTCGAAACGTCGTCCTCTACATTTGTAGATTTCTACAACAGGCAGTTGCTGTCCATTAGAAACTTAGATTCATTATGAATACTCTGCCTAAACAACCTTTTAAAAGATATTCACGTGGCTTGTTATTTATGTTTCTGATTTAACTATTTTATATCTGCAAGTTAGATCAAAAACATTATGAGATAAATGAGGATAACCATGAAAATGTAAAGGTAGGAATAATAAAGAATATTTATTGACAACTGGTACTCACCAATCGCTATTGAGGTGTTCTGTTTCCTCACTTTTCTCTGGGCAATAATTTCATTAATGTGGTCCGTATGGTTCGTGAGAGGGCGTGTCACCTCATTCTCGATGGAAAGTACACTTAATACGTTTGGTCTTTCTTATCCCATGGTACTTCTCAGATAAGTTTTAGTTATTTTTGGTTTTGAAAATGAACGTTCTGAATTTGCGACAATAACTGGGATTGTTATAAATAGCATTAATATCGTACAAATGTCATGAAAACTAGTAAACAGCTCAGTATTTGCAAAAAGTAGCAAGTTCGCCATTTTCTTTACAGTTGAAAGTTTAACATTGTGACAATTATTAAATCATTATACTTCTTTCTAGATCACGCCATCTGATTCCCTAGCAAATGTTTGAGGTTGTAGAACACTAAACGTATCTACTACACCTCATTGAAGCCTTCAACCTTTCAAGAAGTTTCCAATTATGTCAAGACATCCTACCTCATCACTCTCTACAAGTCGCCTCGTCACACGACCACATTTGTTTATAGGTTTTCGGCTCAATCTCCATTTTGCACTAAGTTTTATAGATGATTGTTTGCATGATTCAGTTTCATTTCTAAATTATTTTAGCTCTGTGTACGCGCTTTTAATTATCATGTACGCTTTGGTGAGGTCTACATCTTTCGTTTGTAGCATTTTAGATACTGCATTTATCGAGCGAAGTATTTTCGATTGTATGAAAAGAAGAAGAACGAAATCAAATGTCTCCAGTACTTTTTTTTAAATGATTTTTCTTCGTCTGTTTCATCATTAGACTTACTTGTGAGAATCATTTTAGACAGAGATTTAAATATTCCATTGTATTTGTATCTTGCTGCAGGTATCGAGTCACGTGTTGGCGACAATCTTGTTGAACAGATTCTTTGTTTTGTTTATTTAAGAGCAAAATCAAATTGGGCTAGTTTCTGTGTCCACCGCGGGGAATCGAACAACTCCCATTTTTTAATGCTGTGTCCAAAATAAACCCAAATTTTCTCGCTGTCCCTTTAAAATGTAGAAATTTCAGGCATGTCGCGAACCGAGTCATTAAGAACCAGATTTAAGTTCTGGGAAGCACAATGTATAAATTGTGAGATTTCTCCTTTTTCAAAATATTGCCTTGAACTCCAGAATAAACTTCTCTCATAACTCAAGTCCTGTCGTAGCCTTGGCCTTGCCATTTCGATATATCCAGTCCCTTACTCTCGATACAGTCAATTTTTTTCTTTTTCTGGTCCAACAACTGATTGGTCTACAACTTCTTCAAACCGAGAAAAGTTCACTTGCTTTCCCACATGAATCTTTTCCAGTTTTAACGTAATGAAATACTCGACTCAACTAATCGAACTTCGCCACGTCTTCTGTTGTGTCCATTATTACCAGAAAACAAACGATGCCTTCTTAATATCGTTAAAAATTTCGAGTTTCACTTGTTGGGAGAGAAGGCCGATTTGTTCATTTTGAATGTCAGGGATTAAGTATCAAAACGAACCTTTAGGCT